AAAAAAAAAAAAAAAAAAAAAAAAAAAAAAAAAAGATTGGCTGTCACAAAAAGCGGAAAACAAAAGAAAGCAAAGAAAGATAACTACTTATATCTTATCAAAAATCATGCTCCCTAATTTTGTTCTGAGGGTTTGGCATGCTATGGAAAGGAGGGAGTGTGTAGTGCTGTGGGGCCAGGCTCTGAGGCCAACCTTTCTGCATTTGAAACCTGGCAGTGTTACTTATCAGCTGTGTTATAGTTGGTAAATTACTTAAGCCCTCTGTGTCTTAGTTCCTAATCTGTAAAATGGAGATCATAAGACTAGTTTATGCATAGGGTTGTTCTGAGAAATAAATGAGTGTATATATGAAATGTATAATGTATTACATTAGAACAATGTCTGACACTTAGAACTCAATAAATAGCTGTCATTTTTGTTATTACTGATTATTTATAAATGCTATTTTTTAGACTCAGTAGTCTTCCTTTTGCCTTTAATCCAAACTTCAGGCACCCTTTTAACTGATTCTTTCCTTCAAATGGTTGGACTGTCCACACGTGTATAAACTTTGTACATGAGAGAAATTGAGCAGGGCCAGAAGATTTTATTAATGTTGGTTGCTAAGTTGGGTTGCTTCAAAACATTTTCCCTATAAGCACCCCTTTGAGGGTAGGCATGAAACTCTGCCTTAAAGAAATAGTTGAATTGCCTTGGCCAGAGTTACAGTGGTGGCTGACATAATTTCCTTACTTCTTTTTCATTCCTGTGTACAGATCATTTGACAATTTCCTTAAAACTTTTTAAATTTATGATTAATAAAGCCAGAACTGTTGCTCGTTTTCTGTCCTCCTTCTGCTCCTGTCACTAACTACTTCTTTATGCAAAACTTCCCAACTTCTACCCCAACATCAAAGCATCTGGTTTCTTAAATAAACAGGCCCTGTAGAGAGGCTGTGTTGTATATGCTGTCAGCTCTGAGAAGAATGTGTGTGTTTGTTTGCGGCACTGGCAGGCCTGAGTCTAGGCTGACAGGACTGAATGTGCCTGTTGGAGACTTCAGGGAGCTGCTGCTTACAGCCTGTTGTTGAGGATCACCAGACCTTTTTAACACATGGAAGTATGAAGGTCAGTCAGTGCCTTTAACTGCTCAGAACTTCGTAACTGCCTCATTTATTCCAGTACTTGGCCTCTCTTCATCCTACCTTTCCCAACACTGGCTTTCACCCTTTTGTTTAATCTTCTCTTCCATTCATTTTTGATCGAGGCATAGGAATTATGGAGACTGTGCTTAGTTGAGCAAAGTGAACAAAACTCACATGAGGAATCCTCTCCTTTGCAGTACATCTTGGTCACACCTTTAACGCTCCAAAGCAGGTTAAAATTATACGAGTGCATCAGGGATTCCAGTAACAACTATCAGCAGATTGGATGAAGTCTAATTTATCTGGGTAAATGTTAGTCTTCATCTGAGGTTTGGTTGGGGTAAAAGTAGAATGCCAGCCAGGTACGACAAATGGCTCAAAGGAAACACAGTGTGACAATTAGGTAAGCTCTACTGACTCAACTATTTGGCTGTGTGCGTACTGATTTTTAATTAGAAATTTTACTTTTTCTCTGCTGTAAAAATTTGGAAGAGAACTCGTTCTGGTCAGTTTCTAATAGCTGTTTGTTTGTTTGTTTTTCTGTAATAATAGGCTCCTCACCTTGTTGTGAATAGTTTCTTCCACACTCTGCCTATTTTCAGTCAGTCTCTTATCTCTTGTCGGGCAACTGCAGAGACAGTGCTTCCCAGTTTGACCTAGTTGGCCTGGTACCCTCATGTGATCACTTATCAGGCAGTGCTGAGCACCCAGTTGTAGGGATCCTTGAAAGAGAAGGTTTCCTCCTCTTCTTCCCTTGCTGTCTATCCCTCAATTTGTGTGTGTTTGTTTGTTTGTTTGTTTTTTTGGGGTTTTTTTGTTTGTTTGTTTTTTGAGACACAGTCTTGCTATGCAATTTAGGCTGGCCTTGAACCCACTATGTAGCCTCTGCCTTCCAAGTGCTGGGATTACAGGCATACACCACCATGCCCAGCCCTCAATTTCTGTCTTTACAGAAAGTGAACTGCATTTTGAGCCTGGAGAAATGTCATAAATGATGTTTTATATGGTTAGATGCTAATGATAAGGCAGAAAAACATCAAATGTGATATGTAATTAGCTCTAGAAAGAGCTACTGCATTAGTAAATTTATGTAAGTTTTCCGT